TCGCGCTGCTCGCCGCGCTGGAGCGGGAGAAACAGCAGCTCGCCGCGCAGCTCGACGGCGTCGACGGTCGCACGGTGCTGACGCGCTACGCGCTGATGCTATTCGCGAAGGCCGACGACGCGGAGCGCAGTGGGGCGGGCGCGAGCCTCAACGTTGTGCGGCTCTTCTTTACCGCGGCGATTCTCTTTGATGCAACGGCGCAGTTCACCGACGACGGCGAGCTCGACCCCGTCGCGGCGGAGAAGCGCAACTACGCGCGCTACATCGCGGTGCGCATGAAGAAGGCGCTCGACAGCGGCACGCCGTACATGAGCCCCAACGCGGCCGAGCACCCGCTGCAGCACTACGCCAACGAGGAGGAGGAGGAAGAGGAAGGGGGGCATGGAGAGGAGGGCGGCGGCAACGCACCGCAGCACATCTCCACGCAGCCACCGTCAGCGTTCATACCGCGCTATCAGCCACCAGCGGCAGGTGGAACGAGCAGCAACAAGGAGGACGCGTACGCCCCGCCACCTGCGGTCGGGCCATCGCCGAAGTTGCACACTTCGTCACCGTCACCGCAGCCGCAGCCAGCGTCAATGGGTGGTGGTGGTGGTGGTGACATGAACCGCCACAGTCAGCTGCCACAGCGGCACCAGCAGCAGGGGAAAAACTCGCCAGCGCCACCGGCCCTTTCGAACCCCAGCCCGCCTGCCTATGCGGTGCCGGCCTCACCACCACATGCGACTTACTGCGGCGGTGGTGGTGGCGGCGGCGGCGGCGGCGTTGCTGCAGGCGCACCGTCGATTGATGCGATGATCACCGCGCAAAAGCATGCGAAACAAGCGGTCAGCGCACTGCAGTTCTACGACCACGCCACCGCGCGAAAGGAACTCCTGGCTGCTCTAAGTCTACTCAAGGAGACATGACCAGTTGATGGCGTTCTGGTGATGTGGTTTTGTTTGTTTCTTTCTTCCTTGCCACTATCTCTAGTGTGTTTTGCGGTGCCCCACGGGGACGTGCACCTCTCCGCACTGACGAAGGAACAAGAGCAAATACGGGTGAAGAACGAAAAAATAAGCGCACTGAATTCGTTTTGTGTGTGACTGTGTGTTCCTCCAGAAAGTTTGTTTGCTTGTGTGCGTGCTGTCTTCCTCGCTCAATACTGCCGCGCATATTCGGCGTTCCATGTTGCTCTTTCTCTCTGTTCGGGGTATATATATATATATATATATATATATGTGTGTGTGTGTGTGTGTGGTCATGCCAAGAAGCAGCGCTGTGGGCTCTTTTATGCCCTCGTCGCCCTCTCCTCATTGTTGTTTTTCTTCCCACTTCGCATTCTCCTTTTTTTTTCTCCTGTCTTTCTCTCTCTCTGTGTGTGTGTGTGTGTGTGTGTGTGTGTGCCGCATTCCGCACGCAGAAAGGCCATAAGCGGAGTTGTGAAGGAACAAAATACGCGTTGCAACTGTGCATCCAAGCCACATGTTTGTGTCTATTATCCAGGTGACGGCTCATCTAGTGGTGATGGCGGTGGTCACTGCTCTCACAATGGCGGCAGCTGCATTGTTCGACAGCTGGTGGTTCTGCCACAAGGAGCTCCCGTCGCGGGAGCATCGGAGGAAGCAGCATGTTGCACAGTGGGGAGAAACTCCGATGTGGACCGAGTGAACCAGCAGCGATGGTCACAACGCTGGCAGCCGTGGGAGTGGTGACATACGAATAGAAGGAAATGGGTCAACGGGGTGGGGATAACGTGGGCGACACACACACACACATACATACATACATATATATATATATATATATATAT